TAGTTCAAGGTGTATGAAGTTCAATACGGTTGGGATGGGAGGCTGGTGTCGGACGGGTCTGTCTGGCAGGTACATCGCGCAGCGGCAACATGCCCCTTGGCGTAGCGGTAGAAGACGGATGCGCGTTGTGCGCAACCCCTCATATCGTTGGGAGTTGTGTTGCTATGTAATATTGTATGCACTGTGATCCAGCGGTAACAACAGGAAAGGAGAATCGGCAGCCGTATGATAGGAATCTGGCTAGAGAGACGGTCGCGTCTGTTCGAGCTGAAAGTTACGGTTGCCCCTAGGGACCACAGCCAGGGACGATCAGCCGCGGTATGGCAGAACGACACTATTGACTAAGAAAAAAGTACATCAAGTAGGTCAACCCAGTTTTGTCCATGTGACAAAATGTAGGAAACAAAATGTAGGACTCGTCTTACAGATATGCAATTTCTGTATCCTGTAGTTTCCTATTACAAATAGGACTTTGCTTCACTACATTGTTTGATGACCATATCCAACACCAAAATCCCTAACTACGCCAGTGACTGAAAATCGAGATATTGCCTTGGAAAGCTTTTAAGTTTAATACACACAAAATTTGCAAAGATTTATGCGTATCCGCAACCACTGCAACTAAAACCGTTCTCTGGGGTAAATTGGATGCGAGATCACGAATATGGTGTCAGTTTCAGGAAGGAGATCGATGAAAAGTTGCATTTTCCTACCCAAAAGAGACCTTCACGGGACTTTAGCCATGTTTGACAATTATAGTGAAAATCAGCGATATAAATTGTACCGTAGTATAAAAAGAACGAGAGACAAGCTTTTCATAAACTTTTGCATCTTTGTAACATCGCCTCCAAGGTGCCATTTTTCTGTTACAAATAGAAGGTTTTTTCGCTACACTTGATTTTTGACTCCTCACGACTACTAGCGAGGAAGTATTGTAATCGCGAGAAAATTCGAATTTCAAATTGTATGACGTGATATCACACAACGCCACATTACCCATTTTCGTCGGTCTGCTTGTCTGTAGGTCAGCTTGTCTCTTCGCTAATCCTTGGCCTGACTATATAGTGGTGGCGGACGAAAAGGCCAATAACAAAGAAACTGAAAATCAATCAAACCTCGTTTTTGACGTTTCAGAGGACGTTGATAATTTAAAAAAAGATTAGGGTACAAAGTTGGGAAGTGGGTGTTCTAGGGGGTGTGGGACGGCGTATCGCAATTTTATTGTTGGTACATCAATACACTTAGAACCCCGATAATTATACGCACCGATTAGACAGACTTCACAAACAAATATGTATATACTGTATATACAAGGTGTCCCGAAAAAAGTGTGCAATATTCTACCAGCGGTTTCTAGAGCTTAAAATAGGAAGAAAAGTTGATATAAACATAAGTCGACAAACGTCCCATAACGGCGCTACCTTTTAAAGGGGCTGCCCTGAATATGGTTTTACCTTAATATTTCCGAAACGTGTCGAGATAAAGCCATAAAATTTGGTATCCTAGACTAGTTTTTTATGGTGGACTTAAAAATATTAACAATTTTAGACAGTTTTGTTTGGAAGCGTATGTAACAGGGATGGACTCAGGTTATTTTAGCCCCAAAACTTTTTTTTATGTGATCCTATTTTTGAAATTCAATTTTAGAATTTGAAAATTTAGGGTTTTCTAGATAAAAAAGGTACTCTCATTGAATATCGATAAATTGTGCCATTTTTGAATAACATCAATCTAAAAAATTTTTCACATGATAGGAAATGTACTGCTAATTTAAATAAATTGTTGATTTTACATAGTTAGCCATGACGGCAAACTAAAGTTGTTTTGATTTGTTATCACTTATTTTGACGTTAAGATGAAATTGTTAGCAGTGTAAAATTACTAGATTAAAATCAAAATTTTGATTAAATCGATTTACAATGCCGACAGAGAAAACTGACTGACATGCATTTTGAGGAATTCAAAGAAAATTTCCCAATCGCATAGTACCTGGACGTCGAATGTTTACTGATATTCACCGGAATTTGTCAAACCATGGATGTGTTCAGCGCATGCAGGGCTCAGGAAGGCCACTGGGAAATCATCGTATGGATAGTGCTTTAAATATGGTTGAAAATAATCCGCAAATAAGCATACGAAATGTTGCAGAAAATATGGATATACCTCGATCAATAGTAAAAAAAAATTATGAATACCTATTTGATAGTTATCCTAAAAATAATAATTTTAGATAGGAAGAATGACAAGAATGCAAGGATTACATCCTTATCATTTTAAACGGGTGCAGCATTTAACGGAGGCAGATTTTTACCACGAGTCGAGTTTTGCCAGTGAATATTAGCAAATGAAAACACTATTCCTAGAATATTATGGTCGGATGAGTCAATATTTACTAGGAATGGTGCTTTTAATTTCCATAACATGCATCACTGGTCAGATGAAAATACAAAAGTTGTTCGCCGTACAAATTTCCAACATAGATTTTCATTGAACTTATAGGCAGGAGTAATTGGGGATCAAGTAATTGGGCCTATTGTACTTCCCAATCGTCTTAATTCAGAGGTGTATCTGAACTTTCTTCAGAATGAGCTCATGGATATAATACCATTGGATGTGCACCAGCGGTTTCAAGAAAATACGTTTTTCCAACATGATGCCGCCCCTGCACATTTTGGACGCAATGTTTGAAATTGGTTGAATGTCAATTTTCCAGACAGGTGGTTAGGCAGAGGAGGTCCTATAGCGTGGCCGCCACGTTCACCTGATCTAAATTCATTGGATTTCTATTTTTGGGGGTCGTTAAAAGACCTAGTTTACTCCACTGAAGTAAATACTCAAGAAGATTTACTTTAAAGAATCCATCAGGCTGTAAATAAAATAAGAAGAAAAAGGTTTTCCACTTTTCGGGCTACGCAACCATTAATTCGTCGAGCGAGACTCTGTATCCAACAAAATGGGAATTTATCTGAACACTTATTGTAAAGCTAGTTTTAAGTATATCCAACTGTATGTCTTCTTTTCTAAACAAATTTCAATTTTATTCGTAGACAAAAATTTTAGTTCTATGTCGCAATTGAAATATGTATTTATGTAATATTACCAATTATTAAATTAGCTTTTCCGTTGCCATGGTACATTTCCTATCATGTGACAAATTTTTTAGTCTGATTTTATTCAAAAATGGCAGAATTTATCGATATTCAATAAGAGTATCTTTTTTATGTAGAAAACCCTAAATTTTCAAATTCTAAAATTGAATTTCAAAAATAGAATCACACAAAAACTTTGCGGCTCAAATAACCTGAGTCCGTCCCTGTTACATACGCTTTCAAATAAAACTGTCTAAAACGATCGTTGTTACAGGCGGGTTCTCCTATTTATCTCACAACGTCATCGCGAGTGCTCCTCAGGAATCGGTCTTGCCTTTAGCACTGTTCCGTTACATTTCAAGCGGGTAATTCTTATTCTTACATGCCTTTTGGTCTGTCTCCTGATGCTGTCAACTTTCAGCGTAGTTTTAGCTTCACCAACATCAATCAACTTTTCAGCTAATAGTTATACTTCATTCATAGTATATTCAGTAATAACTTTCTCATATAGCATGAGTATCAATGATCAAATATAACTGTTGCTACCAATACACATAAGCATCCAGGAGCCATCTTAATACTCGACCATATCTTCTTGGTCACAGCTTATTCACATGTATACACTAGGCTATCTTGGCAGCTTGCAACACACAAAGAATGCTAGCGCCTAAGAAGGAGACATGGTCGTTGAGCCATTCCACCAAAGGTGACGCTCGTAGCGAGTAAGCGCGGAACGAATTATGATTATTAAATTACAAAATGACATTCTACCGATTTTTCATGACATTATATAGATGTTTTACGTAATACCCATGCGAAAGGCCTTAAAATTGCCATTTTCCTATTCCAAATTACGAGTTTCGTGACACATCTTTTTGATTGTATGATGCATGCTTCTGATGAGGTATATAATGTATGGTTCTTTATCCGCCTTCTAACTGTAATTACACAGTTTTGTTTACCCAAGTAGAAACCTCAAATGGATCTTGTTTGCACTTTGGTATATTCGCGATTCTCCGCTTCCGCGGAAAATGAAAAGAGAGTATTAAAATATGTCGTAGTTTTTATGGAATGAAACAGTTTTCAAAAGGAGAGCTACCAGCTAATGACTGTACACTATGGAACTGAAAGAACGGGTGCATTAATGTACAGCAGGGTTCAGAAAGAATTCCACTTCAAAGGACCTGCTCTTTAGCCATGTAAGGTAATAATTATAGGCATTTCCGAATAAGGAATCTGGCATTATATCCATCAATTCTTTCCGCTCTAGATGGGACTTGCCAGAGTATAAAGTCAAAAACTGTATAATATAAAGTTTGCAACCAGAACTAGTTTTAGCTGCTAATGTGAATTATTATGTAATCTACAATTACTAGTGTGAAATATTACTTCATACCTTGAGGAAAGCTTGTTATTCGCCTGGTATATGTGACCCCTGATTTATGAATTATAGCAAAACGTCTTGGAAAAATTGTGAACGAATTACATACGAGAATCATATATTCCGGTATTTTACTCCACAAAAACGTTACTGAAGCGAATCAAACCAAGGGCTCTCGATATCCGATGTTTGTGATCACAAACGTAGCCTTCTGCTTCCTTTATAAGTACTTTCCTATTCAAGCATTCTGTAAATTTTAATAAACTTCATTGGATCGATTTGATTATTCGAAAGTATACAGAATGCTATAAGTATGGTCACTTAGAGATCGTACCAGTTTCTACGTCCTTCCGTCCGTTCCAACTAACGTGGACCAGGTGGAAGAAGCTAGCAGGTGATTTGTTTTGATCCCGAATCACGTAGTAAGTAGACAGGATTGTAGTGCACACAATGTGGACCAGCTGGGGGTGCATACCTTGTCAGTAGTCAGTATGCAAATGCATACTACAAATCGATCAGTCGTAATAGCCGTCAGTTCGACAGTTCTTGACACTTAGCAATTTTTCGGCGAAAACATATAAAAATGCACGGTTTTCCATCAAGTAACGTGTGTTCCAGACGATTGCCGAAACTGGTGAAGCAGAAGATAAATCAAAGCAGATGCTTTTGTCGAGGTGTTAATATATTACAGTCTTCGGCGATGGATAAGGGCATGTACCTCAATCTTGGGCTTATACTTGGACAATTGTGAGGTAAAATTGACTTATTAAATTCCACTCCTTGCTTCTTTGAGGGCTCAGTCCCAGTCTAAGGTTTGCTAACATAGGTACGGAAACGACCAACCCAAACTTTATCTTTGAACTTTGAATGGATGTACATTCATTTTGAATTTAGAAGCTCTTAGGAAAGGGTTTGATACTCGTGTTACAAACAGTAATTTTGCGTGAATATCAAATTAATCAAATCACTTCCAAATGTTTTTTTCGATCAATACAATGACACTGGTACCAGAGTAGAAATTTTTATATTAGGCTCAACTAGCTAAGAATCTGCTATTTGTAAAACCGAGTACAGTTCAAACATTCCGTTATTGATTCTGTTTGGTGAAAACAATTCATAGTATTTTAAAATTATGAATTGAGCCAGAATTGCTCATATGCTGCTGGATGGTGATACGTCAGCAATATTTAATTTTTCACTTTTTAGAATTTTCCACAAAATCTAATCGATTTTAATTTGTCCACATATGGCAACCCTGCCTGTCTATGCTCGAAAGCGAAACGCGTCTTCAGGGATTCCTCAAATATGGATATGTTTACTCGCTTAGAACGTTAGCTGTAAATGTTCTTGGTAGAAACGCGTCTCACCGAGTAGAACGCAGAATGGCTCCCCTTAGTCAGGAACTAGCTGGTTGAGTTACCGTTTGGGTCTCATTTGGACGAACGTGGAGTTACGTAATAAATGAGCATTTGGAAAGATCCAATTTCGAATTTACCGGATATGTATTAGCGGAAGTATAGGGTTCAATGAAAATTGAGGGATATCATGTAACTGCAAAGATTGTTGGTTAAGGCGAGCCAGATCGTCCTTATTTTCCAATCATTGAATGACATTTAGAATATGTGCCTGGAAGCCAATGCTTGCTTTAAATTTATTATAAAATGTACCAAAATGTTTACGTAAGCATGAGGGGGAGGGGGTAAGAGATTTGCTTACTTTTGCTGGCAAGGGACGCGGGTCAATGATTCGGCCCCTCACGAATTTACTCACACTTCGGGAAGGAGACGAAAGGAAACTGTATAACTATGTCCTGTCTTTGCCTGAAAAAAATAGTGTTAAGTATGTTGACTCTGAATTTCCCACGCAACGCCCTTATCAGTACATAAAGGCATATGTTCATCACAATCTAGAACTTCTGAAAAAAGTCAGTCAAACAGTTCCGTACAATTAGTCCATAGACATTCTTTCGGTAGTGCATCTGGAAACGTCGCCTCTCCCCGATAGCTCACTTGGGCAGACGTAGCACCGTGGTAGCGCGGGCAGAGCATAGAGATATAGAAATACGGTATGCAGTTGCGAGGTAGAAATACATGTGATTCCATGACAGGACAGTCATTGCGCTCGGCGCACGATGCAAGTAGCAGCCGCGGTCGATAGGTACGCGACCTGTTTCACGAAAATATTTTTCTGTTTTCAGTGCCAGTGCCATGTGTGAAATATGTCTAATAAGTGCTTAAATTACCGGGAGCGTATAAATGTACCAGCATCAAAAAATTTAGAAACCCATACCACCCACAACTTTTTCTTTACCATCAAAAAGGTCAATAAACGATGTTTGAGTAATGTTTATTTTTTTCGTCTTATGTCTTTACCTCTGCCGCCACTGGCCTGATTTTCAAAAACTATAAATTTTTAAGACATGGTTTTCATTGACGCACACATCATATAAAATCCAAAAAAATATATTTCATTTTCCAAAGATTTCGCGATTATAATACACCCCCGCCAGTAGGCGTGGAAAGTAAAAATTATTTGGCTTAGAGGAGTCCGAAAATAAAATGGTTATTCTGTCAGTGATCAACTATTTATCTGGAAACTTTGATATTCGACATGGCACTATTTCCTAAACTGGAAATTTTAATTAATTCCATTGGATCGATTTGATTATTCCATTTGCTGAGCCCTTTCAAAACAACGGATTCTATAAATTAAACCGGCTTTGATGTAACACTTGGTGTTCGATTCCCTAAAATTGGATTTGTTATAAAAACACGACGGATTTTTATCCGATGATGTTTACCTTTTCGGATTGACCGCGAGTGGTTTATAAAATTGTGGTACACTGGCTAAAATTGTTAGCATGCGAATATCCGTAGATTCAATCAACGGAATGAAATTTGTTAGCTACAAAAATTTATTTTTCTATGATTTTTTGACAATATTTTAAATCATCTATAATGATATAGAAATAGTTATTTATTATGCAAGGGAAAAAAGTAGTAGATTTTAGCTAAAATCTAGTATTTTTCCCGTGTATAATACACAATTTTTTTCTGTGACGGAAAAAACGACGAGTTAATATTGAAACATTATATTATTACAATATCTATGTCGAAAAATTATCGATATGAAATTTGAATGTTGTACTTATAGCGCAAATTAGACCTGTGTTCCTAAGGAAACCTTTAAAGTAATCAAATAGCTGTCAATTTAATTTTTTGATTTGTTTTAAAAATGGTGAACTTAGTAGTTGTTTCGTTATTTTTAATACTATAAAGTAAAAAATGTCTAATTCCGAGTTTTCTTTGAAGTCGCCAAAGTAGCCCCACAAAAATTGTTGCCAGCTAAATCGCGGAAAATTTACGAAAGTGCGTATTCAATATACGGGAAAAAGTAATTTCACAAAAAGCGATATTTTGTGAGCTGTCGACAGAGATAAAATGTCAAACTTTTTTTCCCATCACAGAAATAATAAGTATTATTGTATAATAAAACATTCTAAAATTAAATATAGTCGCAATCACGAAAGATGACAATTACGTCATCACTTTAGTCTGTAGTAAAGACAAATGACAGCGATTTGTCTATATTTTTAATGAAGTTTCAGATATGTAAGACAGAGACAGACATAATTTTATTGTCCAAACAAACTGTATTGCTAATTTGCATGTATTCGACAAAGATAGAAGATGTTTTCATGTTGCATGATCGATCATATTTGAAAGCTGAATAGTTAGGTTATGTTAAAGCAGGTTAGGTTGTTTTCGAATAATACCTTGGTCTTTGGCATTCCTATCTAAGGGTGTATTCTACTCATAAGTGTTTTTTTCATAGCAAAAACTTCCCATTAAAATTATTATTAAAACCATGAAATAAAATGAAAATAAAAATAATCAGTGAAATACCTAACTTCGCAAAATCAATATAAGTTCATTGTCATAATACATATTACTGACATCGCGATTTTATCATCGACATACGTCCATTGATTACTTCAGTACAATTTATGGTATGACGTAATAGTCATCTTTCGTGGTTTTGTCTGTATCTACCTTTGCTTATGTGTTTATACAATATCCGGGAAAAAAGTTCTCATTTTTTCCCGGGAAAAATTTCATAAAAAGTGACATTTTGTTATCTGTCAATTGAGATAAAATGTCAATCTTTATCCTCCGTCACAGGATTGAATTTTCCCCCGACACTGGAATAGCCTTCAGCTGGTCGGTTACAGCCATTTGAATGCCTTGGACTGTCCCAGAATGTTGATTTTTCAACTTCGGGAAGAGAAAGAAGACACAAGGTCTGAAGTCAGGTGAATAACGAGACTAAGGTGCCGCAGGAACGTTTCTACTGGCCTCTACTGTCATTATCGTAATGCAACATCCAGTTGTTCTTGACCTGATGAACGGTGATGTGAGTCAATTTTAACTCCTCCCCAATCATTCTGACTGTCAACCAACGATCTGAACATACACGATCCCGGATTCTGTCGATATTTTCATCGATTCTTGAAGATAAAGGCGTTTCGCTTCGAGGTTCATCTCCAATCGACCCTCACTCTTCTGAAAATTCCCTAAACAACCGAAGAATCTGGGCTCTTAACAAAACACTATCTCCGTAGGCCTGTTTAGCAAGAGTTTCCGCACGGACACCCAAATGACTCGAGCGAGTTCAATCTTGTACTGAGAATGGAACACATCTCCCCTCTCTCAAATTTTAGCATAGATATAAGTTATACCTAGAAGACCGAATCTAATTTTTTACAAAAATAAAACTGGAAGGGGTTGTAATATGAGGAAACTACTATTCTTCAAGTTAAAGAAACATGGGTTTTGTATATTTGCTTCTTTGATATAATGTAAATGAGCACCTACAAAGGGGTCATGGAAATCCAGTATACCGGGAGTGAAGCGGGGGTTAACACATGAAGCTGAAGAACCAACAATATTACAGATTAGGCCAGAGTATGACTTTTCTAAGACAAAGATGGGGTACGAGGGTATTGGATATTTCCATGGGAAACCTTATCAGGTCAAGTTTATAGAAATGTCTCTCGAAAACTATTTAACCTATGAACACGAAATTCTACAGGATACCTTATGGATAGGCTATATGTCAGCTAAGAACGGAATTCACGATAAGGCTGGTTTAGGGGTAGATATAAAGGGTGGGCAATCAGTTGTTTTTTTTAGTTGGTATTATTTTGACAGTTGGTAACACTGGCATGCTCAAAATATTGATAGATATATTGTGTCAAACTTCCGCTGTGAGCAATGGATCGTTTTGATCTTGCACAAAGGTAGAAAATGTTGAAAAACTATTTTCAAAATAACTCCCTGTGTTGCAGAAGCTTTGCGAAAATTGAGAACACTATTTGGTTGGAACGAAGCTCCGTCCACGACTGGTATACGAAAATTCGTGAAGAAGGTTACTGAAACTGGCCTGCTTGTGGATAAGAGAAGGTATGAGCGTGTACGACTTGTAAGTACGGCCGAAAACATTGCTGCTGTTGCCCGTAGTGTGCGTGAAAACGCAAAAATGTCAACTCGTCACAGTGCACAATAAGTGAGCATCAGTCGCACTTCCGTGCGGAGAATATTGCATAACGACCTGGAATTATATCCTTACAAGGTGCAACTTGTGCAAGAGTTGAAACAAAATAACCATCCGCTTCGATATCGTTTCTCTGTGTGGGCTCTAAATCAATTTGAAATGGACGTCAATTTTGGTCGCCAAATCGCCTTTTCCGACGAAGTCCATTTCGATCTGGGAAGTTACGTTAACAAGGAGAACTGTAGGATTTGGGGTTCTGAAAATCGACATGTCGTCATAGAAAAACCGATGCATCCAAAAAGAGTAACTGTTTGGTGTGGCTTTTGGAGTAGTGGGATTATTGGCTCCTACTTTTTTCAAGATAGAGATGGTAACAGCGCGACGGTAAATGGGGAACGCTATAGAGACATGTTGAGGAGTTTTTTTGTGGCCACTATTATGCGTCATGCCCTTGCACAATCTCTGGTTCCAGCAGTATGGCGCACCATGCTACACCAGCCGTTAAACAATCGATCTTTTACACACTAAGTTCGGTCATCGCGTTATCAGCCATTTTGGAGACGTTCATTGGTCAGCCCGCAGCTGTGATTTGACGCCCATGGATTACTTCCTTTGGAGTACCGTTAAGGATCGCTGTTACACTAACGATGCTCAAACAATTAATGTTCTTAAGGAAAATATCCGTCGAGCTATTGATGAAATGGACCCACAAACTATCGAAAATGAGCTTCAAAACTGGGTTAAGAGGATGGACTAGGCCAGTCGCGGCCGCCATTTAACTGAAATTGTTTTTCATAAATAATCGGAAGATGTATTCTTTTGAATAAAGCATCGAGTGTCACATATTATTAAAGCGTGTAGTTTTAATACCAATTTCAAAAGGAACCCAACGGATCTCCACCCTTTATACAAAAGTTTTAATAATGAAATGTCGAGAACTATTTGACCAATGAACATGAAATTTGGCAGAAAGGTAGCTTATGGATAGAGCTTGTCAGCTAAGAACGGATTTTTCGGTAGTTTATACGAAACTCTATTGGAGGTAATTTGGCAGGGAAGTAGTTTAGAGGCAGTTAAGAACGCATTTTGCAATAGGGCCATATTGCAGCGGTTAAAGGGTACTCACGCGTCTGTTTAAAAATCCTGCTAGATATCTAAAATTGGCAATACTCTAATGTGATGGTAGATATAAACTGAGAATGAATTTTTCGGCGAAAATGGGTTTACGGGTTGTCACAATTTCTACTAATATTATAAATCTGAAAGTGTGTATGTATGTTTGTATAGATGTATGTTTGTATGTATGTAGGAGTTGTTTTGATGAATTTTAGCAAGTATAGAATACAAATATCAGTGACTGATAACATATACGTACACTCTGGTTGCTAGCCAGCGGAGTGCTTCTTTTTCTAACATAGATTTTGAATGCTTCTCGCGCTTCTTTCTCATACACGTTACGACGTCAGTGGCATCTAATTATAATTATATATATCAGACTTGGGAGGAGTGAAATAAGAGGGTAAAGGATATTATGCTACATAGTTTTTTAAGGCTAGGTATACAAACGTGGGTTTCATATAGTCGGCTATTTGATCTAGTGACAAAGGACACTTACAAAGAAATTTCCACCCCTAAGGGGTCTAGAGGGAATTCACACTTTTAAAGTTTTTGTAGATAATTTAGAATATTTCTAATTAATCCAGCGAATAAGTAGG